CACCCACGCAGATCACGTTGACCAGCGTCGTCTTGCCCGAGTTCTGCAGGCCGACCAGCGTGAGCTCCATCTCCTGCGGGCGCGGGTGAGCGGGGCGGGCGATGGCGCGCGGCCGCCGACCTCCTTGAAGAAGAGCGAGCGCAGCCAGTCGAGGAACCACGACACCCAGGACGACATGGCGCCGGGGCCGCGGCGCGGCGGGCGGGCGGGGCGAGGAGGCGATAGGCGGGTGTGAGATCGACGCGTCGGTGCGTGCACCCATCACGCGATTCCGATCGCAGCATCGCCGGACGTGCCGTCGATCGCACTGAAAAGTACACGCCGTGCTACTGCCAGCCCGCCGCCCGCTACAGCTTCATCGGCCGCGGGTGCTCCGACCCGTCCGCGCTGGACGACCGCGCCGACGACGGCCGCCGCGCCATCGGCCGCTCCCCCGGCGTCGCCGCAGCGAGGTTCGTCATGGCCGAGCTGAACTGCGCCGCCGCGCCCGCGAACCCGTCCACCGGCTCGGGCACCGGCTTGGGCATGCCCCGCGCGCCGCCGCCGTCCTTGAGGCGCTCCGTCAGGAAGAGGATCTGCTGCTGCATCACCTGGCACTGCGCCCGCAGGCTCTGCATCTCCTCGCGCGAGCGGAAGCTCTCGTTCATCACCGCCATGTTGTGCCGCAGGTCCATCGACGCCATGTCGGCCGTGATGGACTGCACGTCGGCCGTCACGCGCTCGTTGTCGGCCGTCAGCCGGTCGATGTGCGGCAGCAGGTCCACCGGCGGCGCCAGCGTAGCAATATCGCGCACCAGGTCCGCGCGCACGGTGCCGATCATGTCCCGCAGCTGCGCCACCTCGCCGCGCAGCATCCGGTTCTCGTTGAGCAGCTGCTCGTACCGCCACTGCTGCAGCTCCACGAAGGGCCGGATGGCCTCGTAGCGGCACTCGGGCAGGTGCTCGGGCTGCAGCCGCTTGCGCTCGCCGGTCCACGTGCAGCCGACGGGCGCCATGGGGCACTCGGTGACGGCCTCGGCGCACGTCTCGAGGTGCGCGGGCAGGTCGCCCCGGACCACCTCGGCGCCGCACCATCGGCAAACGGTGTCCTCGCCGGGGCACTCGGCCGGGTGGGTCTGGCGGGCACGGGGCGGGGTGAGCGATCGCGATCTGCGGGGCAGACTGGGGAAGCCCACCTCGGCGTCCTTGACCGCCACGGCCTCCTGGCACTTTTCGCACACGTACTCCCTGTACTCGCAGGTGTCCACGTGCGTTTCCAGGTCCGCCTTGGACAGCATCTCGCCGCAGCCGCGGAACGGGCACGGCTCCGTGGCGTACTGGCAGTCATCGCGGATGTGCGAGGCCAGGAACTGGCGCTGGCCCGTGTGCGTGCAGCCTGCGGCGGCGTTGGGACACCGTACCACCAGCTCGTTGATCATGTTGACGATGATCTTGTTGGCGGGCGCGAGGTCGCCGCGGCCGGCCGGCCTGCGGTCGACGGGGCAGAAGCCGAGGCGGTCGACGGCGGCCTCGATGCACTCGCGGCAGAAGGTGTGGCCGCACGGCGCGACGGTGACGGGGTCGACGAACGGCGCCTGGCACACGCCGCAGACGAGGTGCGGGTTGACGCGGTCGCCGTCGGTGTATTCGAAGGAGTACGAGACGGGCTGCGGCGACAGAGGCGCAGGCGCAGCGGGGCCGCCCGCCGCCGCCGCCGCATCAATAGGCTGGGGCGGCATCGCTTCCGTGGCGCACTGGCACACTGTGTGTGTGTGTGGGGGAGGGGGCAATGTGCGGGCACGGGCCGCAACTCCAAACAACCATCTTTTCGCTTTCTTGGCCGCCTCACGTGCACGCCCTGCTGCCTAGGAGAGGGCGCAGAAGGCCGCCTACATCGCTTGAGGCCGTCTAGGCTCCGCAGCGCCCGACGCACGGGCCGCCCGGCGTCCCGCCGCATCTTTTCCACCTCCCCCTTCCCCCGACCCGAAAATGGCCTCCTTCTACAACCTCAAGGCCATCACGGCCGTGCCGACGGCCGATGCCTTTGTCGACATCACGCTGTCGAAGCTGCAGCGCAAGACACCCACGGTTATCCACCCCTGTGCGTGCCCGCCGCGGCAGTCTCCCTCCCGCCTCGCTGACTCCCGGAAACCCGGTCCTGCCCGCCTACCCTGGCGGAAACAGCCTACCAAATCACCCGCATCAGGCACTTCTACATGCGCAAGGTCAAGTTTGCCCAGGACGCGTTCGAGGAGCGGCTGGATCAGATCCTGAAGGAGTTTCCCAAGCTCGACGTGAGTAGCGCCAGCAGGGAATGGAGCTGGACTCGGCTGGACTCGACTGGGGGCGGCGCTTGCCTCTTCTTTGGCATGATCTTTGGAGAGGCGTCGTGGACGGGTTTTCTGTTGAGTCTGTGGGCTAACAGCCACCCCTTCCCTTTTCAGGAGATCCACCCGTTCTACGCGGACCTGCTCAACGTGCTGTATGACCGCGACCACTATAAGCTCGCCCTGGCCCAGCTCAGCACGGCCAAGCACCTGATCCAGAACGTCGGCAAGGACTACGCGCGCCTCCTCAAGTTCGGCGACTCGCTGTACCGCTGCAAGCAGCTCAAGCGCGCCGCGCTCGGCCGCATGTGCACCGTCATGAAGCGCCAGAAGGACTCGCTGGCGTACCTCGAGCAGGTCCGCCAGCACATGGCCAGGCTGCCGTCCATCGACCCCAACACGCGCACGCTGCTCATCTGCGGCTACCCCAACGTGGGCAAGTCGAGCTTCATGAACAAGGTCACGCGCGCGCAGGTCGACGTGCAGCCGTACGCGTTCACCACAAAGAGCCTGTTTGTCGGCCACATGGACTACCGGTACCTGAGGTGGCAGGTTGGTTTGGCGTCGTGCGGCAGTCGGAGCTCCGCTGACGGCTTCCGCCTTCCAGGTCATCGACACGCCCGGCATCCTCGACCACCCGCTCGAGGAGCGCAACACGATCGAGATGCAGTCCATCACCGCCCTCGCCCATCTCCGCGCCTGCATCCTCTACTTCGTCGACGCCTCGGAACAGTGCGGATACACGGTCGCGCAGCAGCTCGCGCTCTACAAGTCGATCCGCCCGCTGTTTGCCAACAAGCCCACCATGCTCGTCTTTAGCAAGATCGACGCGCGCGACCCGTCCACGCTCCCTGCCGAGCAGCTGGCCGAGATCGACCGGCTCGTGGCCGAGGACAAGCTCGAGGTCCTCAAGATGTCGAGCTACACAGACGAGGGCGTGATGGAGTCGCGCAACCAGGCCTGCGACAGGCTGCTGGCCGTGCGCGTGGAGCAGAAGCTCAAGGGGAGCAAGGTCGCGGACCGCATGAACATGCTGCACCTCGCGCTGCCCAAGCCGAGGGACGACAGGGAGAGGCCGGCGTTCGTGCCCGAGGCGGTGGCCGGCCGCGTCAAGTACGACCGCGAGGATCCGAACCGGAAGAAGCTGGAGAGGGACATCGAGGTCGAGGCGGGCGGTGCCGGCGTTTACAACGTGGACCTCAAGAGTGGGTTTCCTTTCCACCCTGTGCCAACGCGTGCTTCTTACCGTTTTGTGCGCTCGTGCAGAAAACTACCTCCTTGCGGACGACGAGTGGAAGCACGACTCGATCCCCGAGATCATGGATGGCCACAACGTGGCCGACTTTTTCGACCCGGACATTGTCGAGCGCCTCGACGCGCTCGAGGCTGAGGAGGAGCGCCTCGAGGCGGCCGGTTTCTACGACGAGGCGGACTACGAGCTCGACTCGGACGAGGAGCGCGTGCTGGCCCAGGCGTCCGAGATCCGCTCCAAGAAGGAGCTCAAGCGGATCGAGGCCAACCTGCGCAAGGTGCGCAACGGGCCCACGGTGTCGCGCATCGCCCGGCCCCTGGCTCGCAAAGCCCAGGTCGGCAAGGAGCTGGCCGAGATCGGCGTCGAGGTGCGCGGGCGCTCCAGGAGCGTGGTTCGCGGTGCGAGGGACAGGTCCGAGGGCGCCGTGGCCATGGAGGGCGTGGAGACGGCGCGGTCGGCGAGCCGGGCGAGGAGCCGTAGCGCCGCGGCGAGGGAGCCCAGCGCGGCCGGGCTGCGCGACGAGGGCATGGTGCGCAAGGCCGAGAAGATGAAGGCCAAGTCGCAGACCAAGCGGAGCCTGCACGGGCGCAAGGGCGAGTCGGACAGGCACATTGCCGTCAAGCTCCCTAAGCATCTGTTTGCGGGCAAGAGGGGCATGGGCAAGACGGAGCGGCGGTAGTCGGTGCTTTCTGGTGGACTGGTTGACGGATGAGCTGAATTCAACAATCCATTTCGTGTTCCGCTACGTGGAGAAATGCGAGAAGTGCAGTCCACGAGATTGAAGCAGTCGGCAGTGCAACCACAACCGACCATTGGCGTGAGATCCATGGGTGACAAACAGCGTTGTTCGTGGGATTAATGAGGCCGATCAGACGCCAGGAGCCATAATCTCCGGATTCCAGCACGGTGATGTCACTATGTGCGTTGACTGGTACACACAGAAGCGCTCAACGTCCACGCTTCGATGACACGCCACACAAACAGTATTGAAGCGATCGCGATTAGTTGGCACTCTGTTGGATCGCCGAGCAGCCTTCCCCTGATGAGCTTGGGAGCTTGGGTCCGCCCAATCGGTTGCACCGATCACGTGGCCACGGTGCCGCTGGAGACCCAGAGCCAGATCGAGCAAAAGGGGGAAAGGTTCGAGTGTTTGCCTCAATGATGCGACACTGGTGGAGTTGGGGCCGGACCCCATGCAGAGCCAGGGTGGTCCGCACAGCCCCGTCGTCCCGCCCGTCCTGCCGGTGCAAGATTGCCAACACAGAAAACATCCACAAGCATAAGCATCATCCTCACATTCGAAAGCCATATCCGCTGGGTAAAGGGGGTGGCGTGCTGTGTGTGAACCTCTTCAGCGCCCCTGAGGCCGCTTCGGAGCACCCGTCCTGTGCTCGCACTCAGTAGCCACCGTAAGGACCAATCTCCCGCTTAAATCAATCTATGCTATCTTAGTCAAGTGGTTACGACGGTGGATTCAATGAATCTCCGGCGGCCCTGGTCGTTGGGAGTTTTCGGAGCAGTCCCACTCCCGAAAGGGGCGAGAGTTCGAATCTCTCAGATAGCACAGAGCCGCTTTTTGCACCATCTGTCGCCAAAACCGAATGTTCGGCGACCGGTTGCATTTGAAGAGGACTTTGGACTCTCTTTTGTGGAGTTGAGCCTGACAAGGACGCCGGCTGTGGGCGCACAATCTCTCGTCGATACCAAAAGCGTGCGTAAGTCCCAGTCCCAGCCCGACACACTCCACGTGTCACGAGTTCGCGAGTTACGAATCCCATGCGGATAAGAATCCCCCATCGGGATCCGTTCCTGGATCCGCTTCACTCGAGTCCTCACTGTGCACACCGTTCCGCCGAGCAATCACGCGCTCCAAACCGCAAGCCTCGACCCCTGCTGACCCCACGAGTAGCGACCGCGCCATTCCCGAATTGTCCATGGGCTCCAGGCTTTGCCATCGACTGGAAGACTTTTTCCAATAATCGCAGCAGACGTATTTGGCATTCGGACTTGCTCCACCACAAGTCCTCGCAGGAGATGATGTGCCTTGCCTCGTGTGAAGGACCGGGCCACCCGGAGGGCCTTGACCAGGGGCCGGCCGCACAGAAGGTTGGTTCGTCGAGGTCCTGCCGTAGGCCCTGAGGTGATTAGAGGTGAACTTGACCTTGGAATGGCGCTGAATCCGGGGTTGCTTGGGTTGTTTACGGGGACGGGGGACTCGGGAGCTCCGTGAGGAGGATCCGAGGACCCAGGCGCTCGGAGAACGGCACGAAGAGGGTAGTTTGATGTCGATTGACGACGGAAGACCTCTACATGGGCTCTCTGGCCGTTCCTTTTATGGTTTTCCCCTGAATGTCTGGGACATGTCTGGGACACCGTGTCCGGGATATCGTGTCCGGGACATGTCCGAGACCGTCCTAAAGAGTTGTTCTCGCAGAGGTCCGTGGCCTAGGATTTCCGCCTAGTGAGGCGGCCCCGACCTCCACACTCGTCGTGTCGAGCGATCCGCGGCTACCACCCCTCCAGCTCCGGAGCCAGCGAGAGAACAAGGTCACTTCCTCGACGTTCGTATCCGGTATGTCTAGCACGACTGCGCGGCATTCGCGCAGGGGCAAGCACCTGACGACGATAGCCCGACGGAGCTCGTCCCATCTTCAGCCTGCTTCACCGCCCTTGTAGGTACTCGCTGCAGGACCGAATAAAAGGAAAGGCAACTTGTTGCAAACCACAGAAACTACAATTGACCAGCGCTAGTTGGGTTCCGACCGCCAAAACATGTCTCATCGCTGCCACCTCACAATCGCCACCGAGTTGGCCTGGCGCATTGGATTCCTCGGTTGACCTTCCGCTGTTGTCCCAAAGCAAAGGAGGTCCCTATCGCCAAGGAGCTTGATCACTTGGTCTTCTCGACCCAGCTGTGCACCCTTGGTTCCCCATGCACAGACGACATGGTCAGCCCAAGATGCTGCAGCTCGCAGAACCTCGTCGTTCGCTGGACCGACGAGGTCAGCGCTACCCTTTCCCTTCGAAGCAATCAGAGCAAACAGATTGGTGAAAGCGATTGCGCCGTAGCCCTCGTTTCTGGCCCACTTAGCGAATCTCTTGACCGTTTGGTCCGCAGTTTTCTCGTCCGCCACCGAAGGGGACTGCATGATCATCAGCACCCGAGGGCGCGAGGGGTCCCAAGCGTGCCGGAGAAGGTAACGGTACCGCTCGCAGGGAGAGAACAGTGCGAGCTTGGAAACCAAGTCCTCCTCGTGGGTGCGCGTGATAGTCTTCTCGATGACCGGATCCTCTTGCACAAGCGCACGAGCCGGAGAAGGTGTCGCCGAGCTGCCGGCACGATCGGCGCCTTCGTGAACTTCCTGGCGCGCTGACATGCTCTGTGGAGATGTCTCCTCGCTATCGACTCTGGCAGGTTCCGGCAACTCCCCGCGCCGCGGCCGCAGACCCGAGCCCCTGCGTCTCACTCGCGGCTTCGAGGGCTCATCATCTTCGGAATCATGCAATGTAGCACAGGATTGCAGGTCCGGGGATTCAAGGCCCCCGCTCTGTCGGGGGGACACGGGTCCCGCCGACGGCTCGCAGGTTTCCTCGGCGATGTCCTTCGTGCTGAGGCAGACGCGCTTCGCGTCCAGCTCAATTTTGCACGCTTCTCCGTCTGTTGCCTCCCAGGTTCGCTTGATCCCGTCCGCAAGGGGAAAGGCGGGGTTGCGGTTCGAACACGACTCGGGAGCTGGTCCTTGCTCGAGTAGTCCGCCATCTCCCGGGCCATTTTCCCGCCTTGCGACAATTGATGCCTCCAAAACGCGCAACTTGTCCTCAAGCTCTCCGTTCTTCTGCCTCAATTGGGCATTTTCGCGGCGCGCATTTTCCAGGTCCTTTCGGCTCTGCTCCAAGTCCGCCCTCAAACGCTCTGCTGCAAAGAGCGCGTCCTTAGCGATGTCACGAGTAAGCTGGAGCTCAGCAAGGACAGAGGCCACGTCTGCCTGGTCAGTCATGGTTCGGTTACGGTTAGATTCGACGGGAGCCTTCACATCACACGGAGCGAGCAGCCCTGACACAACGACATAATCGCTGACGATTTGAATTTGTTTGTTTCATTGCGCTTTCGATGCTTCTTAGGCAGATGGATTCCGCACTCGGAGCATCCAGCCGGGAAGACATTTGAGATTCATCTCGCCTTTCGGGAGTGGGACTGCTCCGAAAACTCCCAACGACCAGGGCCGCCGGAGATTCATTGATCCACCGTCGTAACCACTTGACTAAGATAGCATAGATCGATTTAAGCGGGAGATTGGTCCTCACGGTGGCTACTGAGTGCGAGCACAGGACGGGTGCTCCGAAGCGGCCTCAGGGGCGCTGAAGAGGTTCACACACAGCACGCCACCCCCTTTACCCAGCGGATATGGCTTTCGAATGTGAGGATGATGCTTATGCTTGTGGATGTTTTCTGTGTTGGCAATCTTGCACCGGCAGGACGGGCGGGACGACGGGGCTGTGCGGACCACCCAGGCTCTGCATGGGGTCCGGCCCCAACTCCACCAGTGTCGCATCATTGAGGCAAACACTCGAACCTTTCCCCCTTTTGCTCGATCTGGCTCTGGGTCTCCAGCGGCACCGTGGCCACGTGATCGGTGCAACCGATTGGGCGGACCCAAGCTCCCAAGCTCATCAGGGGAAGGCTGCTCGGCGATCCAACAGAGTGCCAACTAATCGCGATCGCTTCAATACTGTTTGTGTGGCGTGTCATCGAAGCGTGGACGTTGAGCGCTTCTGTGTGTACCAGTCAACGCACATAGTGACATCACCGTGCTGGAATCCGGAGATTATGGCTCCTGGCGTCTGATCGGCCTCATTAATCCCACGAACAACGCTGTTTGTCACCCATGGATCTCACGCCAATGGTCGGTTGTGGTTGCACTGCCGACTGCTTCAATCTCGTGGACTGCACTTCTCGCATTTCTCCACGTAGCGGAACACGAAATGGATTGTTGAATTCAGCTCATCCGTCAACCAGTCCACCAGAAAGCACCGACTACCGCCGCTCCGTCTTGCCCATGCCCCTCTTGCCCGCAAACAGATGCTTAGGGAGCTTGACGGCAATGTGCCTGTCCGACTCGCCCTTGCGCCCGTGCAGGCTCCGCTTGGTCTGCGACTTGGCCTTCATCTTCTCGGCCTTGCGCACCATGCCCTCGTCGCGCAGCCCGGCCGCGCTGGGCTCCCTCGCCGCGGCGCTACGGCTCCTCGCCCGGCTCGCCGACCGCGCCGTCTCCACGCCCTCCATGGCCACGGCGCCCTCGGACCTGTCCCTCGCACCGCGAACCACGCTCCTGGAGCATTCAGTTCTGTCTGTGTCGCCAGGGACGTCGCGGAGTGGCCCGAGGTGGTCACAACCCTGGTAACCAAGAAACTAAGTCAAGATCGCAACTCCTCGTCCGATCGGCCGCAGATTCCCGAAGAACGCCACTTTGTCGCCCGGGGATCGCGGCAAAGCGTAGGATCGGACTCCCCCTCGGGGGGAAGCGCCACCGATCGGAGGAGCGTCCCGAGCCGTCACTGGCTGCCCGGCCAAACACCGCAACCCCGCCCGCGCTGCACGGCGATGGAGGCAGCCGCGGAGCCGCGGACCAGCGTGACGCACCCGCTGTCGATCTCGTGGGTGCTGCCGGAGGCGCTGGTCGAGCGCGCGGCGGGCCCGCTGGCGACGGCCGAGCGGGACATCCTGGACGCGCTGATCGAGGCGGGGCCGCGCGCGTGCTCGCCCGCGGCGGCCCTCGCGCACGCCACGCCGCTGCCGCTGCTCGACGCCGGCGGGAACGTCGTGCGCGGCCCCGCCCGCCCGCTGCTGCCCGGCCGCCGCCGCGGCAACCTCGCGCTGTCGTCGATGCCCGGCAAGCGCGTGCGGGTCGAATCGGGCCCCGTCAACGGCCGCGCCTCCGTCAAGCGCGACCTGGCATTGGACTTTTGCCGGCTGGCCGCGCTGGGCTTCCGCGCCGTTGTGTGCTGCATCGGCGCCGAGGAGATGGATTTCCTGGGCGCACCCCTGGCCCGCTACGAAGAGGTCGCCAGGTCAAACGCGATCGAAGTCGTGCGGATACCCCTTGTCGAAGGGAGCCATCCCGATCGCCCGTCGGACCTGGATCCCGTGCTGGAGCGGATAAGGGAGGTCACGGACGCCGGGGGCAACGTGCTCGTCCACTGCCGTGGGGGACTTGGCCGAGCCGGCGTCGTCGCCTGCTGCTACCTCTTGCGGACGGGGCTGATACGCTCCAAGCTGCCACCGGACGATCGGGACGACGTCCCGGGACCTTGGAGCCGCTCGCTGCGCTACGACCAGGCCAGGGCGATGGAGACGCTTGGGGAATCCATGCGGACAGCGCCCGCTTACGCGGCGAAGCAGGGTGCTTCTTCGCCGCGGCGGATTGCCGGTCGTTGGACGGAGGGGCCGTACGCCGTGCCCGCAGCCGAGCGCAACGCCCGCGAACTGCTCGCCGACGGCGATCTGTGCGGTCGGACGCGTGTGGCGGACGGAATCGAGTGGGCGGATGCCGTCGCCTGCGACGG